TGTGTGCGTGTGACTGTGTGTGCTTGTGGCTGTGTGTGCTTGTGGCTGTGTGTGCTTGTGTGCTGTGTGTGTGCTTGTGACTGTGTGTGCTTGTGACTGTGTGTGCTTGTGACTGTGTGTGCTTGTGACTGTGTGTGCGTGTGACTGTGTGTGCGTGTGACTGTGTGTGCGTGTGTCTGTGTGTGCGTATGTGTGTGCGTTGTGACTGTGTGTGCTTGTGACTGTGTGTGCGTGTGGCTGTGTGTGTGACTGTGTGTGCGTGGCTGTCTGTGCGTGTGACTGTGTGTGCTTGTGACTGTGTGTGCTTGTGACTGTGTGTGCTTGTGACTGTGTGTGCTTGTGACTGTGTGTGCTTGTGACTGTGTGTGCTTGTGACTGTGTGTGCTTGTGACTGTGTGTGCTGTGACTGTGTGTGCGTGTGACTGTGTGTGCGTGTGTGCGTGTGTGTGCGTGTGACTGTGTGCGTGTGTGACTGTGTGCGTGTGACTGTGTGTGCGTGTGACTGTGTGTGCGTGTGACTGTGTGTGCGTGTGACTGTGTGTGCTTGTGGCTGTGTGTGCTTGTGGCTGTGTGTGCTTGTGACTGTGTGTGCTTGTGACTGTGTGTGCGTGTGACTGTGTGTGCGTGTGACTGTGTGTGCGTGTGACTGTGTGTGCGTGTGACTGTGTGTGCGTGTGACTGTGTGTGCGTGTGACTGTGTGTGCGTGTGACTGTGTGTGCGTGTGACTGTGTGTGTGTGGACTGTGTGTGCGTGTGTGACTGTGTGTGCGTGTGACTGTGTGTGCGTGTGACTGTGTGTGCTGTGTGTGCTGTGTGTGCTGTGTGTGACTGTGTGTGCGTGTGACTGTGTGTGCTTGTGACTGTGTGTGCTTGTGACTGTGTGTGCTTGTGACTGTGTGTGCGTGTGACTGTGTGTGCTTTGTGACTGTGTGTGCTTGTGACTGTGTGTGCGTGTGACTGTGTGTGCGTGTGACTGTGTGTGCTTGTGTCTGTGTGTGCTTGTGCTGTGTGTGCTTGTGACTGTGTGTGCTTGTGACTGTGTGTGCGTGTGACTGTGTGTGCTTGTGACTGTGTGTGCTTGTGGCTGTGTGTGCTTGTGTGTGCTTGTGACTGTGTGTGCTTGTGCTGTGTGTGCTGTGACTGTGTGTGCGTGTGACTGTGTGTGCTTGTGACTGTGTGTGCTTGTGACTGTGTGTGCTTGTGACTGTGTGTGCGTGTGACTGTGTGTGCGTGTGACTGTGTGTGCTTGTGACTGTGTGTGCTTGTGACTGTGTGTGCTTGTGACTGTGTGTGACTGTGACTGTGTGTGCTTGTGACTGTGTGTCTGTGACTGTGTGTGCGTGTGACTGTGTGTGCTTGTGACTGTGTGTGCGTGTGACTGTGTGTGCGTGTGACTGTGTGTGCTTGTGACTGTGTGTGCTTGTGACTGTGTGTGCTTGTGACTGTGTGTGCTTGTGACTGTGTGTGCTTGTGACTGTGTGTGCTTGTGACTGTGTGTGCTTGTGACTGTGTGTGCTTGTGACTGTGTGTGCGTGTGACTGTGTGTGCTTGTGACTGTGTGTGCGTGTGACTGTGTGTGCTTGTGACTGTGTGTGCTTGTGACTGTGTGTGCTTGTGGCTGTGTGTGCTTGTGGCTGTGTGTGCGTGGCTGCTTATGAATTATTTTGAGGAAATGTGTTCAAACAAGCTACAACATAAAGATTAACATTTTGTTAGATATCTCTGATAGTGTTCGCTGCAGCAGCGATGGATAAGGACCTGGATAATAACAGTGTTATTCATTTGAGCAAAAAGTGATAACACAAACGTTGCCTTACCATCACTTGTAATTATTTGTCTTAGTCTATACATTGTGTATATTTTTCCGGCTATAACTTCAAATCTTCTTTTACATAATAAAGTTTCTTAGACTCGTTACAGACTGTATTTGTTTTCCTACTATAAAACAAAGCACATTGAAAGAGGTGAATGTATTTTTTTTTTATTTTGAAATAGTACAACTACAAACATATTTCAGAACTGCAGAGTGGACGTGCACCATGGGGGCCACTGAGGACGTGCACCATGGGGGCCACTGAGGACGTGCACCATGGGGGCCACTGCGGACGTGCACCATGGGGGCCGCTGAGGACGTGCACCATGGGGGCCGCTGAGGAAAGCACGTTTTCAATGTCTGTTGGCACCTTTCACAGACGCATCAGGGAAAGGATCTGGTCATCAGCTTCTCTGGACAGAGGGCGTTCAGTGCTTCCTGAAAGAACCGTTATGACAAATGACTTTATATATTCTGTTACTTGTAGCTTTTCTTTCAAAGTGGTGAGTTTCCTTACAGTGTAATAGTGTAACGTAATTAGTTATGACAGTACTTTTGCGTTTCGGACAAGCTTTACTGGAATTGTTTTTCAGTCCCACATCTCACTGTACAGCTCTGATACACTTTGATTTTGTCTTCATTCTCTGAACAATAAGCACATAATACAGATGTTGATTACATCAATAAATGTATCTTTATTTTGTGACATTGAGAAGGCAGCTTCCAGTGAGATGCAGCTTTACTTTCACATAATACATTACTACAGTGTTGTCTATAAAGAACTCCAAACATACAAATTGTGAGGAAAGCAGTAATGTATTACTTTAAATAACCTTCATGTAAAGCTTTGTTGTTGTATGTATATGCATTACATTCATCTAATACATATGCACTGTAACAGATGTTACAGTGCATAATGTTGAGACACGTCACACTGCAATCTGCAACATTATGTTTATCACAACAGTTATCAGTGTACCAACTATAAAAGCAGTATTATTCTGTAAAAGACTGGATTGTTTTTATCTCTTTCTTAGTGATGCTATCCTAGCTAACACCAAGCTGCTTCCAGTGTTATAGCTAGGTTACAACTGAGCTATTCTATGCTAATATTTCACTCCCAGAGTTGTTAATATACTTACGAGTAGACCTGACGGAGATGAATCTGCTGCTGCCATCACCAACACGATGCGCGTTCATGTGGTGTGACGAGGAGACGGGGGCGGGGCTACTAACTCGCTCAGGCAGAAGAAACTGCCGGAAACGACCAAATCGCTTACTGCTGCTTTAAGTTGTGTCAGTTAAGTTTTCCAAGTTCTGCCAACTAAGTATTTAAATTCAAGTTACTGGAAATTTCAAGTCTGTAAAAACTTACTTTTTTAAGTTCAGATTACTGTCCCCTACAATAACTTACTATTTTGAGTTTAAATTAGCCCCCACATTAAAAGATCATGATGTTTATTTATATAGCGCATTTCATCGACCAACGTCACTTGGGTAGGGGAAACCGGAGCACCCGGAGGAAACCTATGCAGACACAGAGAACATGCCAATTCCACACAGAAAGGCCCTGTTCCGACCGGGATTCGAACCCAGGACCTTCGTGTCAAGAAGCGAGAGTGCTATCCACTCAGCCACCGTGCCGCACACACTGTGAACCAGAGGGGAAACTTAATGTTTCTAAGACTGACCCAGAGAATATAAAGGGCTACTTTGGCTTGGCCCTGTCGATTACGGTTGGTAAAAATACAGTGATTTTTTTGGTCAAATTAGTTTGTTCAAAATGTTGAATGCAGCTGGTTGCCATAACACATATTTAAATGAGCAAACGCAGATAAGTTGACCTCACTATAGCTCGGTGAACTGTAAAAACGACAACTCAAAATTGTTCACCTTACTCAGATTTTTGCATTCACTGACAATAAAATTTCCAGTTGGAACTGGAACTATCTTGTGAGCCACTTGAACTTTCAGAAGTTCACTACAACTTAAAAGTCAAATCAACTTAATATATCAAATAAGATGAACTTTTCATCAGAAACTTCAGAAAGTGAGTGTCGAAAATCAGACGCATAGGCAGGGATCTTTGCACACCAGAGCAACCTGGAAGTTTATTCACAACAGGTGGTAGATTCAGGCAAAACAATAAACAGGGAAACATTATATATTGGATATATTGGCGTCAGTCAGCTAAAACAACGGATACACAATCGTAGCAGATATACAATCAAAGAACATTGTGTGTCTTGTACTTCTATTTTATCTTGTTTTTGTACTACTATACAGGCCATGGCCTTCTATTGTTCATAAGTTCCAACTGGCAATTTTATTGTCAGTGAATGCAAAAATCTTAGTAAGGTGAACAATTTTGAGTTGTATTTTTTACAGTCCAGCACCAGAAGTCGCATTAATGGTGAGTGTTATAACAACATTATTTAAAAGAATAAATTCAGAGGCTTATTATATATATGATTCGAAGTTTGCGTGTTTCCGTTAGACATTTTCTGATGCGCAAATTAATTTTTTTAAACATGATGCCAGAGTGTGAACATGTTTATTGTTGTCCAAATCTTGAATTTCATGCGTGTTTTGGCGTGTTGTGCCGAAGGTTGAAATGAATAGTTGCTAGACTGTAGTAAACTTGTAAAACGATATTGCTAATACAAATGTATGATGGGTGGGAAACTTTCTTTCTCCGTGTTTTACAAATATAATGGAGTTGGCTGATGAATGTCTGCTTAGTTTTAACACTAGCAAACCCAAGCGAAATTGGCCCCTGTTTTGAAAAGAAGGATAGGTTGGCTGCTAACATTTGCATGTATTGATTTGCAAATTTAGGTAATGACTTATAACAGCAGGGGCCTGGGGTGGGCTTTGTTTATTCGTGTGGGGGAGGGAGAGCTACAGTAGTCCACAGATACATTTTTGCGCACAGATTTTCCTGGTGTATTATGCAGTGGAGTTTCATGATGGGGTGGCCGACTTTTTCTTCAATCAGTTTGACAGCCCCCTTGTGTCTCCCCACCATAGCGGGGGCGGCGTCTGTGGTCACTGCAAACACTTTTCTGATATTAATCCCTCGTTCTTCAAAATGTTCAATTAATGCCTTGGCCACGTCTTCACCTTTTGTAGTGTCAGGCATTGTCTTCAAGCAGCATAGTTCTCTCTGATGATTGAATCACAGTACCTTGCCATGACTGCCAAACGCGGGATGTCATTCACATCCACGCTTTCATCAAGTGCAATGCTAAATACCGCTGCCTCTTTTAATCCAGCTGTTTGCTGAGCTCTGACATTCACAGCCATTTCATCAATACGTCGCTGAACACTTCTAGCTGACATGGGAATGTCCTTTATACGTGACTTGATGGTTTCTTTATTTGGAAAGCTTTCAAAAAGAGCATCTGAGCAACTGAGAAAAGCCTCCTTAATAAATTCACCATTCGTAAACGCTTCCCATATTTTGCAATGCAATGCGCAATGCGATAGCTTGCTTCTGTCCCGTGATTTTTAGCAGTGGTAAAAACCCTGGAGGAGCTAGCTTGTTTTCCATATCTGGACACAGCACATTTAATTGACTCTACTTTGTCTGATTGGTCTTTGAAGGTCTTCTCGTGCTTCGTCTCAAAATGACGCTTAACACTTGAAGTTCTGCACACAACATTTTCACAGCATAAAGTGCACACAGCACGGTCCTTCACAAACACAAAACCAAACTCTTGTGTCCAGCAGGACTGGAATGGCCTAGGTTTTGCCTTTTCAGCAGCCGGCGTTGCCATTGTTTACATATCTTATCACTATCATGCTATCTGTCATTCATTCGGCGCGAAGACAGCTGAGAGGGCGCTAATCCACGTAGTGGTCCTAGTGCCGGCAGTTAAAGCGCACAGACAGAGGCAGATGCTTTTAATAGCCATAAAATGGCCACATCAACATTTCAAAGACTGAAAAACAGCTAGCCTACACATTTAAACTAAAACAAGTGTAGGTTGAGGCAACATCAAATGATCAGATGCATATAGCAGACAGACAGTGACGTGCGGTGAGGATTGTGATTGGGGAGGCACTGACTTTAAATGTCAGATTTACTATCATTATTAAAATAAAATAGCATTTAATCACCGATGCAATAACATTCACAAACTTCCCATGCTGTAAAGATGAGAGAACTAGCTTCTTTTAATAATCTCACAACCAATCTAGTTGCTGACTCTCGGCTCCGCATCAAACAACATCTTTAAGAAGAACAGGTGCGAGAGACGTGAGCAGAGAGAGAGAGACGTGAGCAGAGAGAGAGAGACGTGAGCAGAGAGAGAGAGACGTGAGCAGAGAGAGAGAGCAGAGAGAGAGAGACGTGAGCAGAGAGAGAGAGAGACGTGAGCAGAGAGAGAGAGCAGAGAGAGACGTGAGCAGAGAGAGAGAGACGTGAGCAGAGAGAGACGTGAGCAGAGAGAGACGTGAGCAGAGAGAGAGAGACGCGAGCAGAGAGAGAGAGACGCGAGCAGAGAGAGAGAGACGCGAGCAGAGAGAGAGAGACGCGAGCAGAGAGAGAGAGACGTGAGCAGAGAGAGAGAGACGCGAGCAGAGAGAGAGAGACGCGAGCAGAGAGAGAGAGACGCGAGCAGAGAGAGAGAGACGTGAGCAGAGAGAGACGCGAGCAGAGAGAGAGAGACGAGAGCAGAGAGAGAGAGACGCGAGCAGAGAGAGAGAGACGCGAGCAGAGAGAGAGAGAGACGTGAGCAGAGAGAGAGAGAGACGTGAGCAGAGAGAGAGAGCGTGAGCAGAGAGAGAGAGACGCGAGCAGAGAGAGAGAGAGCGAGAGAGAGAGAGAGAGAGAGAGAGAGCGTGAGAGAGAGAGCGTGAGCAGAGAGAGAGAGAGATGAGAGAGAGCGTGAGCAGAGAGCGAGAGAGCGAGCAGAGAGAGAGAGAGCGTGAGCAGAGAGAGAGTGAGAGAGAGAGAGAGAGAGAGAGACGTGAGCAGAGAGAGAGAGCGTGAGCAGAGAGAGAGAGAGCGAGCAGAGAGAGAGAGAGAGAGCAGAGAGAGAGAGATGCGTGAGCAGAGAGAGAGAGACGCGAGCAGAGAGAGAGATGCGTGAGCAGAGAGAGAGAGACGCGAGCAGAGAGAGAGAGACGCGAGCAGAGAGAGAGATGCGTGAGCAGAGAGAGAGAGACGTGAGCAGAGAGAGAGAGACGCGAGCAGAGAGAGAGAGAGAGTGAGAGAGAGAGAGAGAGGTGAGCAGAGAGAGAGAGACGTGAGCAGAGAGAGAGAGCGTGAGCAGAGAGAGAGCAGAGAGAGAGCGAGCAGAGAGAGAGAGGAGAGAGAGAGAGAGAGACGCGAGCAGAGAGAGAGAGACGTGAGCAGAGAGAGAGAGACGTGAGCAGAGAGAGAGAGACGCGAGCAGAGAGAGAGAGAGAGCAGAGAGAGAGAGACGCGAGCAGAGAGAGAGAGACGCGAGCAGAGAGAGAGAGACGCGAGCAGAGAGAGAGAGACGCGAGCAGAGAGAGAGCGAGAGCAGAGAGAGAGAGACGCGAGCAGAGAGAGAGAGACGCGAGCAGAGAGAGAGAGACGCGAGCAGAGAGAGAGAGACGCGAGCAGAGAGAGAGAGACGCGAGCAGAGAGAGAGAGACGTGAGCAGAGAGAGAGAGACGCGAGCAGAGAGAGAGAGAGCGGAGCAGAGAGAGAGAGAGAGCGAGCAGAGAGAGGAGCAGAGAGCAGAGAGAGAGAGAGAGCGAGCAGAGAGAGAGAGAGACGCGAGCAGAGAGAGAGCGAGAGAGACGAGAGCGAGAGAGAGAGAGACGGAGCAGAGAGAGAGAGAGGAGGAGAGAGAGAGACGCGAGCAGAGAGAGAGAGGCGTGAGCAGAGAGAGAGAGACGTGAGCAGAGAGAGAGAGACGCGAGCAGAGAGAGAGAGACGTGAGCAGAGAGAGAGAGACGGAGCAGAGAGAGAGAGACGAGAGAGCAGAGAGAGAGACGGAGCAGAGAGAGAGAGACGCGAGCAGAGAGAGAGAGAGAGTGAGCAGAGAGAGAGAGACGTGAGCAGAGAGAGAGAGACGTGGAGCAGAGAGAGAGAGTGAGCAGAGAGAGAGACGCGAGCGAGAGAGAGAGAGCGAGCAGAGAGAGAGAGATGCGAGCAGAGAGAGAGAGACGTGAGCAGAGAGAGAGAGCGAGCAGAGAGAGAGAGACGTGAGCAGAGAGAGAGAGACGCGAGCAGAGAGAGAGATGCGAGAGCAGAGAGAGAGAGACGTGAGCAGAGAGAGAGAGCGGAGCAGAGAGAGAGAGAGTGAGCAGAGAGAGAGAGACGGAGCAGAGAGAGAGAGACGTGAGCAGAGAGAGAGAAGAAGCGAGCAGAGAGAGAGAGAGAGCAGAGAGAGAGAGAGAGAGCAGAGAGAGAGAGACGCGAGCAGAGAGAGAGAGATGCGAGCAGAGAGAGAGAGACGCGAGCAGAGAGAGAGAGACGCGAGCAGAGAGAGAGATGCGAGCAGAGAGAGAGAGAGCGAGCAGAGAGAGAGAGAGAGCAGAGAGAGAGAGAAGAGAGAGAGAGAGAGAGAGAGAGAGAGAGAGAGCGAGAGAGAGAGAGAGAGCGAGCAGAGAGAGAGATGCGAGCAGAGAGAGAGAGAGAGAGAGAGAGAGAGAGATGCGAGAGAGAGAGAGAGAGATGCGAGCAGAGAGAGAGAGACGCGAGCAGAGAGAGAGACGCGAGCAGAGAGAGAGAGAGAGCGAGCAGAGAGAGAGAGATGAGAGCAGAGAGAGAGAGAGATGCGAGCAGAGAGAGAGACAGAGAGAGAGAGTGAGCAGAGAGAGAGAGCGAGCAGAGAGAGAGAGAGCGAGCAGAGAGAGAGAGACGCGAGCAGAGAGAGAGAGAGACGCAGAGAGAGAGAGAGCGAGAGCAGAGAGAGAGAGAGCGAGCAGAGAGAGAGAGACGTGAGCAGAGAGAGAGAGACGCGAGCAGAGAGAGAGAGACGTGAGCAGAGAGAGAGAGACGCGAGCAGAGAGAGAGACGCGAGCAGAGAGAGAGAGACGCGAGCAGAGAGAGAGAGACGTGAGAGAGAGAGAGAGAGAGAGAGAGATGCGAGCAGAGAGAGAGAGCGAGCGAGAGAGAGAGACGCGAGCAGAGAGAGAGAGACGCGAGCAAGAGAGAGAGAGAGCGAGAGAGAGAGAGAGAGCAGAGAGAGAGAGATGCGAGCAGAGAGAGAGAGAGCGAGCAGAGAGAGAGAGACGTGAGCAGAGAGAGAGAGACGCGAGCAGAGAGAGAGAGACGTGAGCAGAGAGAGAGAGACGCGAGCGAGAGAGAGAGAGACGCGAGCAGAGAGAGAGAGACGCGAGCAGAGAGAGAGAGACGCGAGCGAGAGAGAGAGAGATGCGAGCAGAGAGAGAGAGACGCGAGCAGAGAGAGAGAGACGCGAGCAGAGAGAGAGAGTGCGAGCAGAGAGAGAGAGATGTGAGCAGAGAGAGAGAGACGCGAGCAGAGAGAGAGAGACGCGAGCAGAGAGAGAGAGACGAGAGCAGAGAGAGAGAGACGCGAGCAGAGAGAGAGACGCGAGCAGAGAGAGAGAGCAGAGAGAGAGAGATGCGAGCAGAGAGAGAGAGACGCGAGCAGAGAGAGAGATGCGAGCAGAGAGAGAGAGACGCGAGCAGAGAGAGAGACGCGAGCAGAGAGAGAGAGACGCGAGCAGAGAGAGAGAGACGTGAGCAGAGAGAGAGAGACGCGAGCAGAGAGAGAGAGACGCGAGCAGAGAGAGAGAGCGAGCAGAGAGAGAGACGCGAGCAGAGAGAGAGACGCGAGCAGAGAGAGAGACTGCGAGCAGAGAGAGAGACGCGAGCAGAGAGAGAGAGACGCGAGCAGAGAGAGAGACGTGAGCAGAGAGAGAGAGACGCGAGCAGAGAGAGAGACGCGAGCAGAGAGAGAGAGACGTGAGCAGAGAGAGAGTGAGCGAGAGAGAGAGAGACGTGAGCAGAGAGAGACGTGAGCAGAGAGAGAGAGAGGGTGAGCAGAGAGAGACGTGAGCAGAGAGAGAGAGACGTGAGCAGAGAGAGACGTGAGCAGAGAGAGAGAGAGAGAGACGCGAGCAGAGAGAGAGTGTGAGCAGAGAGAGAGACGTGAGCAGAGAGAGAGAGACGCGAGAGAGAGACGTGAGCAGAGAGAGAGAGCAGAGCAGAGAGAGACGTGAGCAGAGAGAGAGAGACGCGAGCAGAGA